TTGCTGTTTCTCCTGTTCTTGACCCTTGCTTGCCTGACCTCTCTCCTGAATGCCCCCTATTGGATCTGACCTGCTGTTGCTGACCTGGCGTGTGACCCGACTATTCTTTGCCCGCTGCTCTGTACCGCACCGTCCCCATAGTTACCGACCCGGCTTGTATGACCTTGCACTTGCTCAGCCATCCATCCATCCATCCCTCTCAACGGGGTCTCCAGACCTCCTCATACCTGGCTCTCTCTCGTGGGAGCCCCTGGCGAATACCCCTACCACTGACGGGTGTCCTCAGTAGTCACGACCTGGTCCCAGGGTACTCCAAGTCCATCCCCACCATCAGGGGCCCTGGTGAACAAGTACTCTGGGGCTTAGACTCCGTGCGCTGGGAACATCCGATCAGTGGGTGCTAGTGGTACCGCCGGGCGGTCCCTTACAGTACCAAAAGGCCATGACTGAGCCTAGAGGAGGGCCCTTCCCGCTAGAGGAAATTTGCAGGCACCTAGCTAATTTGACGCAGGCCGTAACGGCCCTGCAGGACAGATGTATGCAGCTGGAAAATCGCTTCCAGACTTGCTCTATTTCTGACCCTGCCCCACAGGCCCCGGTTTCTGCACCCCCGGCCCTGGTAGCTCAGGAGCCAGTCTCAGGAGCTTCCGCCCCGCTCCCTATGGCGGAACCCCGAGTACCCTTACCGGAGCGTTTTCACGGGGACCGCACACGCTTCCGGTCATTCCGTGATTCCTGTCTCTTGTTCTTTGAGCTACAACCCCGTACCTTTCTGACCGAAAATGTGAAAGTAGGATTCATCATTTCACTATTGCAGGGTGAACCCCAGGATTGGGCCCACCGGTTAAGGGGAAACAGTGATCCTCATCTGGGATCGGTCAATAGTTTTTTTGAAGCAATGGCCATCTTGTATGATGACCCACAGCGGGCAGCCTCTGCCGAAGCGACCTTATATGCGCTCCGGCAGGGCCGGCGGGCGGCAGAGGAATACGCCTCTGATTTCAGGTGGTGGATGGGGGACACACGCTGGAACGAGTTTGCTCTGTTGCACCAGTTCCGTATGGGGCTCTCCGATCCCTTGAAAGATGAGCTGGCCCGGGTGGAGGTTCCCGAGTCTCTAGAAGACCTTATTGCCCTGACAATTAAAATTGACCGAAGACTGCGGGAACACAGGCTCGAGAGGTCCAGCCAGGGTCGCGGAAATACCTGGGGTCCATTCCTAGGCCCCAGCCAATCAACCCGACAAAGCATCCAGAATCTACCACCAGGAGATGTTCCGGAACCTATGCAGCTAGGCCTGGCGCGGCCTAAATTACCACCGGAGGAACGCCAGCGCAGACGAGCCCAGAACCTCTGCCTTTACTGCGGTGAAGCTGGTCATATGGTGCGATCCTGTCCTCAGAAAATAAGTAAGTGCACCCGTTTTTCTTCCTTGTCTATTAGCAATACCTGTCCTTCGCAATACTTAGTAGTGCCCCTCTCCTTTCAGCTTCCAGAAAGGACCGTGGAGGTGACAGCCATAGTTGATTCGGGGGCATGCAGCTGTTTCCTGGATTTAGAGTTTGCTCACCAGCAGGGTATCCCTCTCCAACACAGACAGAAGGGCTTCAACATCTTTTTGGCCGATGGTTCCCAGATAAAATCGGGGGTAGTTAATCAGGAAACTCCCCCCATTGCCACTACCATTGCCAACCAGCACCAGGAATTCCTCCGCCTGGACGCTATTGCGTCACCTCTTTTCCCAGTCATTCTGGGGCTCCCATGGTTACGGGCCCATAACCCCCAGATTGACTGGGAAACCGGGTCAATCTCGTTCCCTTCCCCATACTGTCGGGAACATTGTCGCACTTCGGGCCCCGCAGGGCCCCGAGTTCTCCTATGCTCCGAAGGAGACTCCGATTTGAAACAGGTTATTCCCGCAGCCTATCATGGGTTCCTGGACGTGTTCAGTAAGCGGGGAGCCGATACTCTGTCCCCCCCACCGCCCGTATGACTGTCCAATCGACCTGTTACTAGGCTCTGAAATTCCTTTTGGGCAAATTTTCCCCCTATCTGAGCTTGAATTGGGGGCCCTAAAGGAATATATTGAGGACAGCCTCCAGAAGGGATTCATCCGCCCCTCCACTTCTCCAGCAGGAGCGGGAATCTTCTTCGTGGAGAAAAAAGACAAAACCCTGAGACCTTGTATCGACTACCAGGAGCTGAACAGGGTCACGAATCACGATCAAAAATCGTTACCCGTTGCCATTGGTACCAGAACTGTTTCAGAGCCTAAAGGCTGCAGTTATATTCACAAAACTTGATTTAAGGGGGGCCTATAACCTGGTACGCATAAGGAGGGGGACGAGTGGAAAACGGCTTTCCGCACCCGGTTTGGCCACTTTGAATACCTGGTCATGCCATTTGGGCTGTGCAATGCACCAGCCACCTTCCAACATTTCGTGAACGACATCTTCAGGGATTTTTTGGATGTCTTCGTTATCGTCTACTTGGACGACATACTAATTTTTTTTCACCCTCCCTGGAGGATCATAGGATGCATGTGGCAAAGGTATTGGGGCGGTTGCGGCAGCATGGGTTATATGCCAAGGCGGAGAAATTATGCTTCGAGCAATCTAGCATCACGTTTCTAGGCCTGGTTATCTCCACTGCGGGGGTCGCGATGGACCCCCAGAAAGTCTCTGCAATTTTAGATTGGCCTGAACCCATGGACAAAAAAGGCGTCCAACGGTTTATAGGGTTCGCAAACTTTTATCGGAAGTTCATCAAGAACTTCTCGGGTCTGGTCTCCCCCATTACTCAACTAACCAAACTTGGAACCGGTTCAAATGGACACCGGAGGCTCAAGAAGCCTTCGAAGCTCTGAAAAAGCTATTTACCTCGGCACCCATCCTGGACCACCCGGACGCGGCCCTGCCCTACATCTTGGAGGTAGATGCATCAGAGAATGTGGTAGGATCCATCCTGTCTCAGCGGAAAGGCACCAAATAATTACTCCATCCCGTAGCATTCTTCTCGAGGAAACTCACCTCAGCGGAGAAGAATTACGATATCGGGGATCGAGAGCTGCTGGCTATCAAAGCAGCGTTAGAGGAATGGAGGTACCTGCTGGAAGGTGCCTCACACCCCATATTGATTTTCACAGACCACAAGAATCTGGAGTATCTGAGGACTGCCAAGCGTCTACGCCCACGGCAGGCAAGATGGGCCCTGTTCTTTTCCAGATTTAATTTTCATATTACTTACAGGCCCGGATCTAAAAATACGAAGCCCGACGCGCTATCTCGTATGTATGAGGACTCCGAAGAAGAACTGGTACCCGACACTATCTTGTCTTCAGGGAACTTCTTGGCGCTCCAGACGGACCTTCGCTCCAAGCTAATAGAAGCATCAACCCCAGTTGGGGTATCCCTCCAGAACAAGGGGGGACTCCTGTGGAAGGAAGATTCAATCGTGGTACCTGAGGAGGTCCAGACCCTGGTTTTGGGGCATTGCCACGATCACCCGCTGGCAGGACACTTTGGCCCAGTCAAGACTCTGGAGCTTCTCCGGCGCTCTTTTTGGTGGCCAAACATGGCTAAAGATCGCAAGCGCTACGTGAGATCCTGTACCATCTGCCAGAAGAGCAAACCATTGAGGAGCAAAGCCTGGGGGCTGTTGCGACCTTTGCCGATTCCCGAACGGCCTTGGCAGAGGATCGTGATGGACTTCATAGTCGAGCTCCCACCGTCGCAAGACCACACAGCAATTCTGGTGGTCATTGATGTCTTGGAAATTCGCTTTAACAAATTTCTCCTTACCGTGAGTACTCGCAGTTGGATGCGCAGAAATCCCCCATAGAGCTGTGCGAATCTCGCTTACCACGACTGCAGCTAAACGCCACGATTCCTGCCCATCCAACTACTTTTAGCTTCTGTTGAGATGTGGGTGATTGGAGCTCCCTATACCTGGAAATGATCACACGACACTTTCAGGTTGCTGTTGGAATTCACATAGAGCAGTGATGGCGAACCGTGGCACGCGTGCCACAGCCGGCACGCCGAGACTTATCTGTGGGCACGCCAGGAGAATCCAGCGGCGCGCTGTCTTCCCGTCTGTAGTGTGCGTGACAGCCGGGTCCCAAGTGCGCATGCACAAGAAGCAGTGCTCTTTGTGAAAATGGTAAGGCGGTACCTGGGACACATGACAGATCCCAGAAGCCGCCGGACCAATCACAAAGCGCAGCGCTTCTCGCGCATGCGCACTGGGCATCCGGCTGTCCGACGAGCGCCCACACTACAGAAGCCGGGAAGACAGCGCGCGGCTGGATCGAGGAACAGGTAAGATAAAAAAAAAACTCTGCGGAAGTAAGAGCGGGTACCTGTCAAATTCAGGTACCCGCTCCCCCCTCCCTCCCCAAAGGTCAGCAGTCATCTGTGCTGTCCGCAGTCTCTGGTCATCCCTGTGCTGTCCGCAGTCTCTGGTCATCCCTGTACTGTGTCCGCAGTCTCTGGTCATCCCTGTGCTGTCCGCAGTCTCTGGTCATCCCCTGTACTGTCCGCAGTCTCTGGTCATCTCCTGTACTGTGTCCGCAGTCTCTGGTCATCCCTGTACTGTGTCCGCAGTCTCTGGTCATCCTGTACTGTGTCCCAGTCACTGGTCATCCCTGTACTGTGTCCGCAGTCTCTGGTCATCTCCTGTACTGTGTCCGCAGTCTCTGGTCATCAGTCTGCAGTCTCTGGTCATCTCCTGTGTACTGTGTCCGCAGTCTCTGGTCATCCCTGTATGTGTCCCTCTCTGGTCACTGTACTGTCCGCAGTCCTCTGGTCATCCCTGTACTGTGTCCGCAGTCTCTGGTCATCCTCCCTGTACTGTCCGCAGTCTCTGGTCATCTCCTGTACTATCCGCAGTCTCTGGTCATCTCCTGTACTGTCCGCAGTCTCTGGTCATCTCCTGTACTGTTCGGAGTCTCTGGTCATCTCCTGTACTGTGTCCGCAGTCTCTGGTCATCTCCTGTACTGTGTCCGCAGTCTCTGGTCATCTCCTGTACTGTGTCCGCAGTCTCTGGTCATCTCCTGTACTGTCCGCAGTCTCTGGTCATCTCCTGTACTGTCCGCAGTCTCTGGTCATCCCTGTACTGTGTCCGCAGTCTCTGGTCATCCCTGTACTGTGTCCGCAGTCTCTGGTCATCTCCTGTACTGTGTCCGCAGTCTCTGGTCATCCCTGTACTGTGTCCGCAGTCTCTGGTCATCCCTGTACTGTCCGCAGTCTCTGGTCATCCTGTACTGTGTCTGCAGTCTCTGGTCATCCCTGTACTGTGTCTGCAGTCTCTGGTCATCCCTGTACTGTGTCCGCAGTCTCTGGTCATCTCCTGTACTGTGTCTGCAGTCTCTGGTCATCTCCTGTACTATGTCTGCAGTCTCTGGTCATCTCCTGTACTGTGTCCGCAGTCTCTGGTCATCTCCTGTACTGTGTCCGCAGTCTCTGGTCATCCCTGTACTGTGTCCGCAGTCTCTGGTCATCCCTGTACTGTGTCCGCAGTCTCTGGTCATCCCTGTACTGTTAATTAGTTTGCACTACTGTAACGAGTTGTTTTTTTCTAAACCAAAAGCTCGATATTCAGGTTTCATTGCAGTGTTGGCACTTTGAAAGAAATAAGTTGGTTTTGGGTTGCAGTTTTGGGCACTCGGGCTCAAAAAGGTTCGCCATCCACTGACATAGAGACTGGCTTCAGACTCAGCCCCCGGTTTTATTACAAACGCACACACGCCCCCCCACATGAATAAGGTCAATTCCCTCCCACAAAAACAATGCAATGCGGAGTGCCTATACACAGGATGTACATTCCGATTGGAGCATAGCCTTTCCTATTATCTATCACTGGTCCTCCCCCATGAGCCCTCTGAGGTCAGCAGACTTCCTCCCCTTCCACCCATGAGCCCTCTGTGGAGAGCATATCTCCTCCCCTTCCCCCCCATGAGCCCTCTATGGAGAGCATATTTCTTGTTCCAGCTCCTAGCAGTATGTTCATTCCCTGTACAAGCATTCCCTAGAAACATCAGTCTGTACCTCGATGGGCCCGATACGATCTTTATTAAAACACATCCATCCGGATACAGTTTCAGGTCGGTAATGGGTTGTAAGATATGCATAAGCCTACACGCGGAGTTCGTACCGCTTGGTGCCTTGCGTTACGAAGTCCATGTGGTACTATGCTGCTGATATGTGGATACAGGCCCGCGGCCTACAGCCAGCAGCATTCGCATCGAATGCCGTGGTGGTATACACGCCGGTCTATAAGCGCAGATCTGCCATCTCATCCATTACCAAGCTGAGTACTGTAATACATACATTGTACATGGCATGGCCCAATTGCAGCCTTCAGAGCTTTAATTAAGCACACCAGAGACATATGAAGAACATGAATATATGACACATTTAAAGTTCAACCAACAATACAAAATTTCCATGACATTCCCTCCTGTTTTATCATATTCTCCTCGTGTCCCTTCTTGATCTTCTTCAGCTTGATGGGTGTAGTCTCAAAACTTCAAAGAGTTCCTGTAGTTGTCCCTGAGAATAAAGCTCCACGGGGTACCTGAAACAACAAGACCCGACGCAGACTCGACGCAAACAGGCTTGATTGAAGCGATGATCCTCAAGAGCGTTGGAACCTTCACTACAGGAAGGCTCTTGCAAAAACCACAAACAGACTTGTGGTATGAATAAGCTTGTGATCCCACGGTGGTCTGGGGAGATCCAGCAGCAGATTCTCAAATTGCCCCTGCAGACGGGGCCACACAAGGCTGGTCTCGACCCAGACAGTTTTTCCAAATCGCAGACACAAACCATGATGAGGCTTGAAGCTTGCTTGGAGGTCTTGGAGAATGTGGTCTTCAGGAGATAAATTAGAGGGAAGCCAGGACGTAATCT